GTGGAGGAGGCGGTGGTGGTGGATTTGGAGCTGTATGCTGTTGAGGAGGGAGTGTAGGTGCTGATGGTAGTGGTGGTGGAGGGGGAGGAGGGGGAGGTGAATGGATCTGATTGGCTGGTGGTATTACATCCTGGGGTACATTGGGAAATTTGTGGGCAAGGACCTGCTTGTGTCCATTGGATATGAAACGTGCCTGTACTGTAAAGGTTGGTGGAGGAGGGGTAAGGCCATTAGCCTGAAGAGGGGGTGGAGGAGGTGGGAAAGGCTGCGACTGGATTGGCACTATGGGTGGAGGAGGTGGCAGGGGTTGTGACTGGATTGGCACTATGGGTGGAGGAGGTGGTAAATGCTGTGACTGCATGGGCATTATGGGAGGAGGAGGTGGTAAAGGCTGTGACTGCACAGGCATTATGGAAGGAGGAGGTGGTAAAGGCTGTGACTGCAAGGGCATTATGGGAGGAGGAGGTGGTAAAGGCTGTGACTGCATTGGCATTATGGGAGGTGGAGGTGGTAGAGGCTGTGACTGCATGGGCATTATGGGAGGAGGAGGTGGTAAAGGCTGTGACTGCACAGGCATTATGGAAGGAGGAGGTGGTAAAGGCTGTGACTGCAAGGGCATTATGGGAGGAGGAGGTGGTAAAGTCTGTGACTGCATTGGCATTATGGGAGGTGGAGGAGGCAGTAAAGGCTGTGACTGCACGGGCATTATGGGTGGAGGAGGTGGTAAAGGCTGTGACTGCATTGGCATTATGGGAGGAGGAGGTGGTAAAGTCTGTGACTGCATTGGCATTATGGAAGAACTGTTGCTGGGGCTGGAGGACCAAATTTCAAAACAGCCATGGCTGATCCAGGTGGAGGCATTGGGGCAGGTGGAGGTGGAGGAGGAGGGGGTGGGATGTTAGCCCCTGGTGGAATATTGTTTGATTGTGGTTTGGAGGCCAGTGGGACAGGTGGCACTTGCTGCTGGACTTGAGGCTGAGGCTTGTGGTGAATTGTGGCCTGAGAGGCATTCTGCAACAAGACACTGAAGACATCAATGGTTCAAGAGATTTTCTTTAGATTGCTAATACATATGAACCACTAGAGGGCAGTAACAATGATTTAGACCAGGGGTTTTTAAACCTGTCCTGGAGCACCCCCAGCACGGCACATTTTGTATGTCTGCTTTATCAGACACACCCAATTCAGGTCTTGCAGTTTCTACTAATGAGCTAATGAGTTAAATCAGGTGTGTTACATGAGGGAGACATACAAAATGTACAGGGCTGGGAGTCCTCTAGGACAGGTTTGAAAACCCCTGTTTTAGACAATATGCATAATGCAAAGCCATCTGCCACACAATCACATGTGAGTTGTCCATACAGTTAGCCACCTGTTGGCCTACCCATTTTTTAATTTAGTTAAAAAAAATTATATTCACAAATGTAGTCTATTTACATTTGTGAAAATAGATAGGGATCAGTGCATTTAAAGGGTTAGTTCACCCAAAAATGAAAATTAGCCTGTGTTTTACTCACCCTCAAGCCATCCTAGGTGTATATGACTTTCTTC